GAAGCTTTTTCAGTGTGGTGGCAACTGTACTAACTATCAAGTACCAGTATATATTAAAAAAACTTAGCTATAACTTTCATACGTTAACTGGCAGTTATTTTTTTAAAAAAAACAGTAACAGTGTTTTCATAAAACATGCATGAATAACACATAGTGAGATTGCTCATATAATGCTTATTAACATATGGTACAACATGTTCATCTAGTGCCCAGCATAATGACACTTGTGTTGTAGCAAATCTTATTTAACTAGAAAATTTCCAAAAGGATAAAGGAATACCTCCTCCTCATAATCATTTCGTTCACGGACATATGCAGCTAACCGCATAATGAATGTGTCGACCAGAGCCCTATCCTTTGTCCAGCCAAACTCTATAATTTCACAGCTCAACTTAACCACTGCATCGAACAAAGCCCCAGGGCTACTACCTGTCATGTCAGCCTATACCAACGTGGCCGGTTTCACATCAGAAAGCATCTCTATAAACACATAAATTTCAGGAGTCCAAGCGACAGTGGTGCAAAAGAACATGCCTGGGAACAAGTGCTGACGACGAGAGGTTTCAAAGGGATCAGCAGCACTGGCAGGAGTTGGCCCCCTCGTGAGACAGTTATCTGGCTGATACCATTGAGCAGCGTGCAAAATAGCTCCTCGCAGATCTTCAGTTTGCGCCAGGATGAGAGGATGCATGACTTAGTGGCCTCGATAAACCAAGCTAGAGTCTGCTGGAGCATATCCTTGGAAGCCTTGCTATCAACATCCATGGCAGAAACGCTCCGAACCAGCACCACTACCGCAGCCTGGCAACAGAGTAATTTGGTATTTATCCTTGTCTTTAGCTGTGCCCCCTGCTCTCTCCAGTCCCGTTTCCTAATCTGCGGAGTGCAAACCATCACATCAATCATGAAGTAACAGCAAGTAAGCATACATGATACACCCAACTCGCCAGCATGTACACGGCGAATGCAAATGCAGGAACCTCCGTTGTGCACATGAACCGCGAAGGGTCATCCACATTCTAGTCTCACCTTCAGGAATTCGGAGAGCGACCGGACCTGCTTTGCGGCGGCATTCCTGACCTTGGCAACATTATCGGACTCCAGACCACCCTCGCCCCCCAACACATGCACGATGAGCCTGAAGGCGACCTCCTTCCGCTCCAGCTCCTCCACCTCCTCCTCCTCGAACTTCTGCACCACCTCCCTGACCCCTCCATTTTCCTCTCCCGCCGCGTACTCCCCCTTCCCCTTGGCCTTGGGCGGCGCCTCCTCAGAGCCCGCGAACTCGAGGAGCAGCCGGGAGGCGACGGGCGCGGCATCCGCGGGGAGGAGCGTCGGTGGGCTGGCCGCCGCGGCGGAGAGGAACGCGCGGGCGAGGGGCGCGGACGCCGGGTCAGCGACGTCGAGCGCGGCGAGGAGCGCCGCGGAGAGCGCCGACGAGAGCGCCGGGCAGGTCGGCGCCGCGGCGAGCAAGGGGAGGAGCCTGGAGAGGAAGGGCGCCGGGGCGAACGACTGCGGCCAGAACGACGGCGAGAGGAAGGCGTGGGAGGCGAGGAACGCGAGGAGCGGCGCGGGCAGGGAGGATCCGGCCCCGGCGCCGGCGGGGAGGAGGCGCGCGAGGGCGAGGAGGGAGTGGAGGTGCGCCCGCGACGCGCGCTGCGCGGACGCCGACGCCGACGCCGGGGGGGCGCCGCAGCGGGAGGCGAGCCAGGCGAGCTTGTCGGCGAGGAGGAGATCCGGGTGCGCCGCCACCAGGTCGCAGAGCTCGTTGAGCGCCTCCATGGGGGTTCCGCGGCGGCAATGGCGGGGGTCAGATCATGGGGGGAGGTCGTCGCCGCTGCAGCAGCAGATCGGGATTGGGGGGGGGGGGGGGGAGGCGAGGCGATGGGGACGAGGCGGAGAAGCGGAGACGGAGAGAGGACAGGAGGGGAGGGTCTCCCCGTCCTTTTTCCGACGCGAGAGTAATTCGCGGAGCCAGAGGGGGGGAGAGGACAAAGGTGAGGGTAATTTGGGTGAGTAATTTATTTTATTTTGTTTAATTTTCTTTTGGTTGACTCTACTCCGCGGAATGTTGGGACAGGGTGAGAGGGGCCGAGGGCCGCGAGAGACAAGCAGGCAAGGCCAACGTGCAAATGCCGGGTTTTCTCTGGAGCCAGACTGGTTGCCTGTTTGCCCTCGGTGAAAACGGGACATTTAGGCTTTGTTTAGTTCGCGAAATGTAAATTTTTAAGTTTCACGTCGGACGTTTGACCGAATGTCGGAAGAAGTTTTCGGACACGAATGAAAAAACTAATTTCATAGCTCGTCCTTCTCCTCTCGAAATTGCTTTTTTCCTTTTCTTATTCTTCCTTTCCTTTCGACCATCTTACTTTGAATCCGGTTGGAGCTTTTCTAGAGAGGGAAGAAGAGAAGTTGTGTGCTCCCTACAAAACCCGTTAGACCCACTCATGATAGATCACCTTACCTTCGAAGGCAGCCAAACATGCCTTCTCGTTTCACTAAACAGGCCTCTCAATCCGTTTTGACGGTGGTACCCATTCTGCTAGTGCGAAAGTTGTTCCCGTTTCTTCGTGATCCGATCCGGTATCAGCGGATACTTTAATTTTACCGGGAAGGGTTGAAACAGCGCACTTCGAAAGATGATGGTGTATTCTGAGGATCAGTCCGTTTTTTATTGAATTCGCAAATTGATAGATCTGGATGATTCAAAGAATGATTCTTCCCTGGGCCCGGTACCATTATTTAAATTGGAGCTTTTCAATTCCATTTTGGAGATTGAGGGTTCGATTCTACCTCAGAACGATCTTCATGAAAGTGAAAAATCTTCGTCTTACCAAAACCGGATCTTAAAAAGTGTTCAGTGCCCAACAAGCAACGGGGGCCCCTTTGTTTCTGTATGAATCTCTTACCGCACAAAATCTCCATAGCCAATTTTACAAATTAGATTTTTAAATCAGAGGCAGCTTTTGGTACTATGGCATGGAGCAAGAAAATGGATTGAAGCAGAGAGCCAGCACACCTTAGTGAATATCATTATTTAGGACAAGCACGAAGAGGAAGAGCTTTGTCCTTCGGCCTTGAATCAGCATAAAGCCCCTCGCCGAGCCACTTCTTTGACAATACATCATGATGAATAGGGTTCGACTCATTCATGTCTCCACACCCAGGTTGTGCCGCAGCCGCCCTTCTGCCCGCAGCCCTATTCTATAAATTTGGCTGGCTACGTTACTTATAATCGCAGAACGAGCAATGAATCCCCAACGACAAACGAACAAGGGGCGAGGCATTTTCGGGGAGTAGCCGCGAATCCGAGTAAGGTCTAAAGGCATCAGATTGAGGAAGGAAATAGAGAATGTTTTCATAGAAGCTTTCTTTTTCATAGGTCAACTCTGAGATGAGGTATGCTGAAATCGCAAGACGAATTTATTAAGCCTAATTAATCTGTCATTAGCACATGTGGGTTACTGTAGCACTTATGGCTAATCGTAGACTAATTATACTCATAAGATACGTCTCGTGATTTCCATGCAAACTATGCAATTATTTTTTTATTTATATTTAATACTTCATGCATGTGTCAAAGATTCAATATAATGTTTTTGGAAAAAAAATAGGAACTAAACAAGGCCTTAACTATTTGCAATTTTAAATTTAATGTTTAATCATTTGTCACACACGTGTTGATATATGAGGACGAGTCTACGGCTCGGGCACCCGATTGGTTTGGAAAAAAATCGGGCGCTGACGTCAGCGTATGATTTACGTGCAAAACTATTTTAAACTGATTTTTCTCTTAAATTACTTATCCAAATCATGATCCGATTGCACCATTAAATTTATTGCAATTAAATCTTCAAAACAAGACCATACATGGATATATTTCGACGGGAAAAAAATAGTTTATTATTGAATTATTTTTAAATGTTGCACGATGTTCCACCAGATATATCGGAATGTTTCACTCATTTAAATTGGGTGTTGTTTCACCTTATATAAAAACAATGTTTCAGCAAATAGCGAAAGAATGTTTCAGTTTACTACAACATTTGATCCATACATAGTGAAATATTATAAGTACACAAGATGAAATATTTTTCGGTGGAACAAAAAATAAATAAATTGAATTCCCTTAATAGGGGGTTTCAAAATATGTAGGTTTTTTTTGTTGCAATGGAGTATTTCAGTTTACTGTAACATTAGACCTATACATTGTGAAACATTGTGAGTATACTAGGTGAAACATTTTTTATGAAACAAAAAATAAACCAAATTTCCTTAATAGAGGGTTTCTAAAATATGTAGGTGATTTGTTGCAATGGAGTTGCGTGTGTGGATAAGTGGCCGGTGGGGACAGGGGATATGTGGTGGGGACCCAGGTGCGCACGTGATGGGGGGAGGGGGAAGCGACCGATTTTTTCCCCTCCCCCCGCACGCCCCACGTTGAGCATTCTCGGATATATGACGTCTGGTTTTAGTTAATTGTTACAGACTTACATGTAAGAGTGAAAAATAGTTTAAATATTCCGGTGAAAACTGGTAAAAGCAGACAGTAGCTACGATATTTTCGTAGCATTTTTTCTAGTTTACAATTACATTGTTCATGGCTCTTCATTCGCAACACACATCTATAATTATATCTGCTTGACATATGTCTAAATAAACGAAAGCCAGCAGTAAATCCTTAACCGTATATGTAATTATGGATTTGTTGATAAATTTATACTGCAGATTTTGTTTGAACATATATAAAATCTATACGTGAGTTGTAAAGCAGATCTTGCTCGTTTCCTTGTAGTATCATCGATGTCTTAGATAGAGCAATTGTTCCAAGTAATTTCAGTAGATCCTTTGAACCTTAAAAATCGATCGGTAGATCTTCTTTACTCCTATTGCATATAAGAGGAAGCCAAAGCAACAAAGCTCGTTCTCATCGATTTAAACTTGGGTTTCAACTTTGAAAAGGCTGATCTCTTGGCGTTGATGCCACCATTCTGCGTGTATTGTATGCCGTCTTACCTCTCCATTAACTGGTGTATACTGTGTATAATACATAATTACACACATAAACACATCAACTGCTGTAAGCCTGTAATTGCAGTAAGCTTCCTTACGGAAAATATGCAGTAACTTACAGCAATTTCCGTTGACAAGAGATTCACTCACCATGAATGGATGAGTCTTAAGTAAAATCTAATATAGGATGGTGCTGGCCACATCTTCCAACCCACCATAGTTCAACTAAAACTAAAATAAACTAAATCTCACTTTTAAGGGTACCCGCAGATCAGCCTGCACCCATCTGTACTCGGTGCTCATGAATTGCTAACACCGACTACAGCCTTCACAAAGAATTTTGCACTATATTTTCTATGAATGGTTGCTATACTGGATTCAACAACCAAATGAAAAAAGCTTACATGTTGCAGCAGCCAAAATTGATCTACAGAAAAATGGAAACAGGGGCTCCCTCGGTTAGGCAACAAAACTTGCAGAGGTGGTGAGGCGAGCAACCAACAGGTCAATCGGTAAAGGGAGGAAGAACACAAAAAAGAGTAACACGGTTTGTCGATCATCTCACTTTCTTTGTTTAGCCACACTCATCGCCTATCTACAGTAAACCATCGGATGATAAACTGTGAACAAGCCTTTGCTATTGTACTTCTCCCTTAAGATCATCTCTCTTTCTTCGGCCAAACCCACATCTACAGAAGTATTCAACAACTGGCCCCTGGTCCCCAGCAACCCAAGGATGCTCACCTACAGCCTGCAGGGTGATACGATTTGCTGGATCTGCAAGACAACCACATGTGGAAACACAAGAGAATGTTCATTAGTAGAATAATATATCTGGCACTAAGACACAAAATGTGCCAGAATCATAAGGCGGTGAAACAGTTTATTTTGAAAAAAGAACCTTTGCAGAGAAGCCTTTCCAGCAAATCAGCAAGTTGGGGGTTCATGTTGTCAGGTATTTGCACCGGATCATTGACAATCTATTCCACAGCAATGTCTTGAATGAGTTGAATGAAAAGGTAAAGCAAAAGGAAATGGAAGGGGGGTATTTTTGTACCTTATCATAAGTTTCCTGTAAGGTATCTCCTAGAAATGGATAGTGACCAGTAATCATACAATACAGAGTAACGCCAACTGCCCATGTATCAGCTGCCCGACCATGGTAGGCTGAACCTGAAGTGAATTAGATTGAAAGGTTGGTCATATTTAGCCAGCCTGCACCAATGGCCAAAGACTATATGTCGCAATTTGAGCCAACGGCAAAAGAGTCATGGTCTTTGCCCTCTTTAGTTTTTAATCATTGGCATAACATTCATAGCCATGCTTTGGCCGCTTAAAGTTGCAGTATCTAAGTAATTCGTTTATGTCATATTCTAAATCTAAATTGCATATTTATGTTGGACTCATTCCGTTTGCAGTTGGGTGTTCTGTCGAGAACAGATTACTTTATCTGCTATTCTGCAATCAAGTAAAAGGGGAACATCTACAGCTGCTGTCTATCTAGCAATTGTTGAACTTCATACACATAATTTGGTGACTAACTGATTCTGCACGCAGTAAATACTAGTACTCAAATATAAAAGGTAGGCAGTTGTACCTTGACAGCATTCTGGTGCAGTGAAAACAGGAGTACCTGGAGACCTCCAAAGCAGATCATCATCATCCTGCAATACAATCACATAACACTTTATCAGTAAAGTACTAAGCCATTAGACTCCACAATTGTACGAAGAAATTGCCTAAAAACACTTACTCCCTCCGTCCCATAATATAAGAAGTTTTAGAGTTAGACACGGTTATTAAGAAAGTAGGTAGAAATGAATGGTGGAGGGTTGCGATTGGATGAGTAGTGGAGGTAGGTGGGAAAAGTGAATGGTGGAGGGTTGTGATTGGTTGGGAAGAGAATGTTGGTGGAGAAGTTGTTATATTTTGGGACAAATCCTGAGGGCTAAAAGTTGTTATATTTTGGGACGGAGGGAGTACATGTTAATAGGCATTTCTACATTAGCACACAATAAAAAAGATCATGTATCAAGTTAAAGATAATCAAATGTGGTATGAAACCATCCTGTTTTACTATATAAAGTCATGGGCCTGCTTAACTAAAAAAGGTGGCATGCAATCATCTACTTGAGTAATCTTAAAAATATTCAGGATGGAAGGAAATGAACAATATCTTTTGAGGTTTTTGAATTAAAAAATGCTTGTCTTAGAAATTGAGCCCCAAAATTGCATTTTTGATACAGTCTACAGTCTAAATCATGATGCACACAATTTTCTGGGGATCCATTCAACTGAAAGCCCTTTATGCCATGACAAGGAAAATAGCATTCATTACTACAATACAGAGGTTAGAGGATAAAGGCCCACCTCAAAAATCTGACTAACACTGAAATCCCCTATCTTCACACTGCCAGTGCTTGTGACCAACAAATTGTCTGGTTTGATATCACCATGAATAATATTCTGCGTATAATGACAGGAAGCATTCAGTGACATGATGAGTTAGGAAGCACATAACACAGTGCAGACTGCATAACGTAGATAAATGTGTGACTAGAGCAACATGTATCTGATTATAATATAGAAGTATGTACAAATTGGGGAAATAGAAACATCAACAAGGACCAACTTAAGAAGTAATGAATTGCCAGATGTTAAGGAATCAAGTAACATGTTACCAAGATACATTATGCACATAAGAGCATGGATAAATTAAGATTTCTTATATGCATATCACTGTCCTAATCAGTGTTCTAAAAGTCGTCTCTAGGCGCCGGGTAGCCGCCGCCATTAGGCATTCGATGGTGTATTAGGCAGCTGAGCTAACTTGGCTAGTGTTTTTTTTTTTTTTGCTATTTTAGTGTTATATAGTCTAATTTCTATGCAATATGCGTGCTATTTTTTTGGATTTGACTAGTTGACCTGACCTAGGCGCCGCCTTGGCGCCAATTAGGCACTAGGCGCCCCCCAGCCACCCAACTAGCGCCTAGTGCTTTCTTGAACCATGGTCCTAATGATTGAAGTTTAACTAGTATCATATTTCTAGCTAAATTTAACCATGGTCCTAATGAACTCAATTTCCAATACAATCAAACAATGGATAAGAGAAGAAATGTGTGTGTAGGCACAAATAATCCTAATCTAGAACTAAAATGGGATTTAATATTTTCTTTATGAAACCATAACCATTCAAATAGTACCACTTAGCTGGGCCCAAAAAAGTTGGCATATGCAAATGCAATAATTACCTCAAAGACAGAAAGTTAAGTAGCTAAAGGAACAAGGAAAGTAACATGCAATTAGAACTTCAGCCTACAAGCATAGACTAAGACTATAGTACAAATAACGATAACTTAACAGTGGATCTCAACCTCTGCTCAACCTGGTCACCGATTTAACCAAGTTTAAGCAAGACTTTTTTAGAAAATGTGGAAGTTAAAATATGTTGCTTGCATTAATCTGCACAATACAAACTTGAAGCTGCTTAAATATATTTGTACAGAGAAACTATCATTATATGACCAGTTGATATGACTGCTAGTGGAACACACTGGCAAATTTGAATTTCCTTTGATATGACCAGTTGATATGACTGCTAGTGGATCAAACTATTCATGGTACCATGAATAGTTTGATCCATATACAATTGGTGTTTATAGGCTGTAGATTCTGATATATGGCATGGCGTTCACCACAATTTAACAGATCTTTTAGTGAAGGAAATTTGAATCTTACATGAGAATGAAGATACATAACACCAGAGATTATGTCGCGCAAGTAATTTCTGGAGGTAGCTTCTCCTAAACCATTGTCACAGACCATTTTTCCTTCAACATACTCAAGAACTGGCAATACCAATGGACAATGTTAGGTAGAATAATATGGAGAATTAAATAAAGATGCTCAAAAGTTAGCAAGAAAAATCTCATGCTACAATTAAACAAAAGGAAACTATTTTTTTTAAAAAAAATGAGAATGTCATTACATACCCATGTAGAATTTATCTGCATTTGGGTCATCAATCACTTCAATGAGATTTACTATATTAGGATGATCCAACATTTTCATGATGGATACCTGTCACCAATACAAAAGGTGATGCTGTCAGATAATTGAGACGTTAAACAGTACATAGAGATTCTTTAAGCAAGCAAAGTTTATTCCAGTTATTTTATTGTGTTCATGTCCTGAACAGAGCAAAATCAGTGAGCACACTCAACTTGTATCAACTCAACTTGGGTATTGGGCTCAGGGCCAAGGCCCTAGGCCAAGGAGGAGGAAGAGGTGCACATGGACATGTCCAGTATCGCATGGTTATTGTTCACATGGGTGTATAGAATAGATTGATTTGCTAGCTATTTATAAAATCTTAGAGATAAACTCCTTCAAGGTCAAGCCATCCTATTTAAATAAGGATGGGCTGTATGTCCATTCGTTAATAGTCTCTCCCTAATGTTCATCATCTAAGTCTAAGTTCTCTCCTCATCTGCAGCAACCATCGCCGCCCCAGCTATCCTCTGGTGGTGTTTACCCACCATGATTTCGGACCATGACAACTTGGTTACTATGTATGTGGTTGGCCCGATAGTGTCAGTGTTATGGTAGCGATGCATCCTCAAAGTGCACACAACCAAGGTTATCATACCAAGCCCAGCCCAATAGTTTGACCAAAAAGGACCTGAAGTGAGCCTCCCGGTAGACTGTTTTTCCTTAGACAATTCTATAATCATCCATTTCGATCAGGAGAAACCATGTTTGAACTGGCTAGTTTAAGAGTGAACAAGTCAACATGAGCCAGACGATAAACCCAGCTTAAGAAATAGCCAAAAATAATGCACAATGCATTGTGCATGAACTAAGTGGGCTTGTTGGTTTGTTATTTATTGTACTGAGAAACTTATGTAAGTCCATATTGAGTGCAAGAGCTATGCTAATTATATCACCACATTTACATATTACCCATTTAAATAGAATGTGCAGACACTGACCCAAATCCTAACTGGGTCAAGGGCTGAATGGGCAGCACTACTTTTCCAGAGCACTTAAGTCGTGTCATGACAAAAAAGAAAAAAAAACATGTATTACAATCACAAGTAAACTGAGAAAGTTACTCACTTCCCGAAGAACATCTGTCATGGCAGTTTCTGATCGCACAACACGTACTTTCATCATGTAAGATTTATTCAAAACCTACAATAGAAGGGCAAAGGCTACAGTTCCATCAGTTAGATGCAGACACTGTGCACGCAACATAAATTTAACCTTGTAACCATAAGAATAATGGTGCTGAACGAGTAAAACCAACTACTCAGACTAGCAGCTAGTTATTAATGAGTTCAGATGCAAGAAATAAAAATTAGTAACTAACATAAAGAAATCAGCACATAAGGACAGCGAAAAACCCTACCTTCACTGCGTAAAGCTTTCCATCTTTCATGCTTCGGTATAAGACCTTTAAGCCAAAAAAAAAAAGATTTAGACATTTACCGTGGGAAGTCACTTCATAACATAATGTGAGCTATCTTACCACTTTGCCATAGCTTCCAGAACCAATCTTCCCCAGGTGGACATATTGGTTGACCATCTTGCTGCCATTTTCATCCTAAATGTGCCGAAAGGAAAAAAGTTATTGTACTGTTTAATGCAAAAAGGTAATAGATCGCATACAGCTTTATGGATTTGCAAAGGTCACGACAACACTGATTGAAACAGTAGATCATCTGAGCATGGCGCCTTAAACAATTAAAGTTTACATCTTATACGTATAATGCAAAAGATGTTTTAACCGATCATTTATAACACAGTTATAATTTTCTATAATAAGTTAAACAATGTTACTCTACTAAATAATATAACGACAAGGATAGATTAATTACCAATCATTCCAAAATCGTATACTACATAGCAACAACCAAATAATCTAGACTTTCCATGATTGGTTAGTGGGCTTCAGGTTGTCACTTTCCTAGCAGGAGGTCCCACATTCTAATCCTAGCAGACGCACAAAATTAGGACAAATGGCAGTTATTCTACAAGGATGGATTAATTATTAATTGTTCCAAAAGGAAAGTGGCATAATGTGCGGCATTAGCATTGATGTTGTCGTAGAAGATGCCACGTTCAAAACCTAGCAGAGGCGCCAAAATTTGCATTCCTGCATGATGGAGATTCAATCACTCGAACAAGACTGAACTACGACATTTACCTATTTCGCAGTCTAACCGCTGAGCTAACCTTGTCTTTAATACAATGGTCCATGTGTGACAGTTTCTCATGCACGGGCTAGCTTGTAAAAGAAGTCTGCACTAGATAAGACTATACCTCTATATATGGGCATGAAAAATGGAAATGAAAATAGAATAACAGTGGTAAAGAATTCAAATCTAAGAGGATAGTACCTCTGAGCGAAATACTTTTTTAGTCTCCTTAACTAGGCTTTCTCTACATGCAAAGCCATTCTGAGCCCTTGACAGTATAATATCTTCAGATCTCTTCCTTGGCTGCCCATCATCACTTCCATAAAGATGATCAGGATCATCTCCATCATAGAAGCTTCTGTCAGGGTCATCGCCATTGTAGAAGCTTCTATCGAGATCATCCCTGTCGTAGAAGCTTCTATCAGGATCATCCCCGGTGTAGAAGCTTCCATCAGGATCCTCCGCAGATTTATGGTTCAACAAGTCTTCAGATAGGATGCCATCAGCGTCGCGAGGTCGACTTACAGACACCCTAGGCTTCCTTAAAAAGCCAAAACAACTACAGCAGCCCATGTCGGTCAGGTCAGCCATTCAGACCAAGTAGGCACCAGGAACCCTAGTAGAACAAAAACAGGTGAAGTAGCAAGAAACACCATCAGAGTAGGAATTGAGAAGTATGTCGGTTAATAGGGTTCGGCGTGAAACCAAACAAAAATGGGAAGTGCCTACTCCTCTTCTACTTAGCATCATTTGGCTATCGCAACACCAACCTACTGTACCAGATCACACATCACAGTAAAACAATAGGCTTATTCCCTTACAAATAAGTCAAGACTACAACACAAATTCCTCGCGGGAAAACTCACTTGATCACAGACTTTAGTATATTCAAAGTTAAGAGGTGATAAACACATCCCTGGGATTTCACATCAGATGAACACGGAGATGAAATCACCTAAGCAACACGACTACGCAGGTATCTGCTGGTACCACCCGCACGCGGGCTAAAAACACCAGCTCCACGCCCCCGAGGCACCCAGGTGACCAGATCCCCGCCCAAAACCGTCCCGACTCCCGGTTGATCCTAGGGCAGAACAGAATAATCACCGGAATAGTGAATCGCCCAGCCTACCCCCACCTTGCTCCCCCCGCGACCAAACCAACGCCTTCCCTTCCCTACTCTAACCCAAACCCCCGCACCCGGCGAGCGTGAATGTACGACGGCGGGTGTGTGGGGCGCAGATCGGACGAACCTCGTGGGTGGCAGGGGACTCCACGGCGGCGTTGCTCCCCCCCCCCCCCCCCCCCGGCGGAGCTGCGGCTGCGTCGCGGCGGGGTCTCCTCGTCGCGGTTTTGTGGGGTTTGGATGGGAGAGGGGAGGGAGGGAGGGAGACCGTGGTGGCAAGCAAAGCGGAGCGGAGGTGGTGGGGGGGGGGGGGGGATCGAACTAGCGAAGGGCGCACGCGACGCACGGACGCACGGTGCGGCACGCGAGGGGTGGGGGGTTCGGCTTTTTGGACGCGAGATGTGGGGGTGTTTGGGCGTTTGGCGGCCGGCGCGGCGGGGGCGGGGGCGCGGACGTTGGGAACGTGGGGGCGTCGCCGTCGCTGTTGACGGTTGGGGGGGGGGGGGGGGGGGGGGTTGGGATCCGGCTGCCACTGCTGATATACACGACTGGCTGCCCGGGGGGGAGAGGGGGGGGGGGGGGTGGTGTTTGGTTAGAGGAGATCGCACGGAGGGGGACTGACCGCTCTGTCGGTTTTTTTGGTAATTTTGGGTGCGTCTGAGCCAACCGTTCGGGCAAGAGCTCGTAAACCCTCCCTGCCCTAAAAATATTTTCAGCTCACTGTACTAAAAATAAATTTATTTTTAATAATTATTATATTAGAGTAGAGTACTAGACAGATCTATATTGTTTATTGGAATTTAACGAAATAGGGTAATCTAGTTCTTTTGTTTTTTTAAAGTATGGAATAGATAAAATTGAATTTATTTTAGGACGGTGGAGGTAGTACTTCGGTTCAAAACTACTCCAATGCTATGGCTCATATTGATATATGAATTTTGAACTAGTAAACAATTGAAATGTTACGTAAGCATGATCAATAGATAATATGCCCAATAGTAGCATGACCCCGCCTCCTTTCCTTCACAGCGTTCGGCGTCCTATGCATCCAAAGTCATTGTGTTTTGGCGGTGGAATACATAAGTAAACAATAAGTAAACAATATGTTAGTATTTAGTTATGCAAAACATTGTTGCCAAGACTTACTCAACTCACGACTTTCACCTGCTTCCGGTGATAATTACCACTATCATATAAATGGGAGAGTAGAGTACCAAGATATAGGGATTAGCTAGCAGATACGGTTTATTTATTACCTTTACTTGATAAAACATGAGAGGTGTACCACCTTTTGCCTAAAGTAAAGAATTCAAACGTTTGCGACCCAATTTAATAGCGCCAGGGATGATTTAAACACATCCTTAGTGGAACAACGGCTTCACTCCTAAAATGAAATCATTAAGAACCCACGCTCAATCTCTCCACATTGTTAGTCCCTCATGCAGCTTTGAATTAAATATATGATGTGGCCTCGCTCATTTTTTAAGGGTTGTGTATGGGCTCTTCCCTATATCCGCAAAGAGTTTAGTTTAAAACTATTGTGTCTGTTTGATCCTAAGCTGCAAATGAGTGGAATTTGATGTTGAATTTCAATCATAAACTTTTGAGAGCAGGAGGTTTTGCCTCAACTCAATCCATGAATGTTATTTCATTTCCGCTGAATTCAACTCAGTCTTCATCCTACCCTAGAGTTATCTCTCAAAGTTGAAGCTAGGAGGTATTTGATTTATTGGATTTCGAGCCCCTTTTCTTGCTCCTTGCCATTAGCGCAACCCTTTTTATTTTCTTAGCTTTATTTGAAGTATGGTTTGTTACCTGAAAAGATACTCATCATATTGCTGCGGTACATTGGGCATATTAGCGGGCCTATTCCATCTTAGTATCCGTCCACCTCAACGTCTATACAAAGGATTACGTATGGACAATATTGAAACTGTACTTTCCAGTAGTATCGCTGCTGTTTTTTTGCAGCTTTCGTAGTTGCCGGAACTATGTGATATGGGTCAGCTCTCGCAAGCTTATTAGAGCATTGAATTGAGCTCTACTAAGAGTAAGATGGCTTTTATTCTACTAAATCCAAAGAATGCTGGCTAGGGTGACGCTCGTGCTTCTTTCGAGTAAGGCAAACTTAGTAAGGGGACTTGTCTTGTATAGTGGGCAGCGGATCTCTTCTGTTCAGTTCTTTCCCTGCTACGCTACTTTGTGATGTATCCTGCCTGCCATCACTTCCTATCGTCAAGTAAGCTGATTGAGTGATTCCAGGTGGTAGTCATCCTTGTAATACCTCATGAAGAAGCAAGGCTGCGCTCTGCGCATATTGTTCTTCAGATCGATTGTGTCACAAGGCAGACAGATAGACTCCTTTCCCGCTGCTAAGGGAGAGCAAGAAACTAAATCAAATGATTGTTTTTTTCACCAGCGCCCTTTTTTTGCGGGTACTAAGAGTCCTCTCACTACCAATCTGCAGACATCATCATTTGGTTGGGTCTTGCCGGTATCAACATATAATAAGCACTCTTATCAATAAATTAGGTTAGGTATTGTGCGGTTACCTAAAGATACCTGCTCAACGTAGATGCAGGGGTAGAAAGGCTGATTCAAATTTAGCGCCAACTCTTTTGTAGTGACCACAGAGTCCCGGGTTGCTTTGGTGCACCCAACCCGTAAGTATTGTGTTGTACAACTCTCCCCCAACGTAGATTGGTGGCAATCAACCATGAACAAAGCACTACGGTATTGACTCCCAACTGAATCTTCTATACCTTTAAAAATAAGCAACCATAAAACCATCCTCTCAGCATAACAATCTATAATAGGCAGATAAAAAAATATCTAGTTAAGGTAATCAACATATCAAACTGTTATATTTATCTCGGAATGAATACCTCAATACTATACAATTACCACATCATGCATTTGATATATACATAGGCAAAACAATACATGTGTAAATACCAGGTGAAAAATGGGCACGCATAGCACTCTTGTAGTCTCAGTGAAATCTGACTACGGTCAATATGAAATAGATTATGAAGCAGATTATTTCTACGGATTATCTACTTCATTATAGGAATAAATTAAATATTTTAATAAATAAACCTAACAAAATCAAGTGGTCTCATTAATATAATAAAAGAAAGTTTTGGTAGAAACTGTACTTTTTTAGTGTGGAGCAAATAATCCCATTCAACAATCCAGTAAATAATTAAAAACAAAGCCTCAAATCCAAGGTTAGTCATAACAAGAGAATGAACCATTCAAATTTTCAAAACCATCTGTGTAAATAAGCATATGTACTGCATTATTATACCAATAAAATTGCTATGGTAGTCCCTGGCAAACTAATTTTTGTTGGACCAAATGCAACGGGCCGGTAAGCCAAACATGTAGATTTATGCACCTGTTTTTATCTCCTTGGGACTTTTCTTTACCAAAGAAGAGGACAACTGATCCATTTCTTATCCTCAATAACTGCAAAATTCACTAATCTATAAACTGTTCTTGCCCGAGCACAATCCACACACGTCTGGATTGAAATTTACAACACTAAGCGTAATTTGTTAACTTGGTCATTGGCAACTGTTACATTCATAGTTACTAATGAATGTAACTAACACGACGCCGAATGTTTACATGAGTGAAACAAACATTGGTACATAACGTCCGAGCATAGCATTTGCATGAGCTGATCAGAAGTCCTCAAGCATGTATCAAGTGTAACAACAGCCTCGAGGCAAACAAAAATCAAGGGAAATGGAGAAAAAGTGAAACAAAAACTCAACCATGTATAACACTACTTATTCCTTACAATCAGTAAACATCCTGGTAAAATATATCATAGCGAAGTCTTAAGAGAGACTAGAAAGAATATAAGGGAGCATATCTACCGACGCTTATCTCGACTGCGTAGGGGAGCAGAGGAGGCCTGAAGCATCTGCACCAACCACGGCAAGCTCACATATGGTACAAAGCTGCCCTTCGATCGAAGGAACAAACCGGGAGCCACAGTACGGGCAGGAAACATCCTTCTGGCCACGGTAGATTGGAACATACGTGGCGCCACAGACAACAAATGGATTTCTGTAGTCATAGTTCAGCTCAGAGCTATCCTTCTTGCCACTGCACTGCTGCTGCACCTGTCGAGCCCTCCTTGCTTGGGCCTCATTAGGGTTGTTCTCCAGAAGCATCCTTGCAAAGTGCTCTGCAGTAGCGAAGTTCTTTTGCTTGTAGCACAGACCCATAGCGCTTCCAAGCACAAGCCTCATATGAACTCTCTGAAGCTTGCAGTTAGTGAAGTAAGCCGCCAATTCTTGTTGGCGGTTGACATCATCTCTCAGCTCCTTCCTCTTAAGTTCCATCCTCAGGCCAAGAACATACTCCCTCACAATCTCGATCAACTCTTTCACTTCATCCACTTCCCTCCTCGAGTCTACCACGATAAGAGGGATGGTATGCAAGATGCTAAGGAACTGCCTCAGGGCTTCTGGGAACTTACCATCTGTGGTGGCCTTATAGGCAGCCTTGAGTCTGTCTTCCATTTGTGGGAAGGTGAAAACAAGTGCAGGAGGGCCTCTCACGTTAGGACTTGCAGACTCGCTCCAACCTTTCTCAACAGCGATTGGTATTATGGGGGCAGTTGCAAGTGCACGAAGATATGAGTGGCTGCCCATGTGCAGATCAACAAACAGGGGCTTGAGGGGAGCAAAGTTTTTTATGCCCAACTGGCGGCTAAGCAACCTCATTGCAGTGTCAAAGTTCCCTGCTGCGGCATGCTCCCCAGCAAGAGAAGATTTCTGAGTCCAAATCAGGCTGACAGGCATGCCTGGTGGAGGAGCAACGAAGACCGCTGAGCGTGCATTGCCAGCATTTTTAGGGGTCTCTGCTTCAGGCGGAAGTTCCAGATCTTCTAGGTCCCAACCACCTTCCTCGCCATCCTCCTCATTTGCTTCACCCTCCTCAGCATCAAAACCGTCACCACCATTTGCCATCGCTTCGCTTGCATCAACCATATCCAGGTCCTCATCACCCCAGTCAGCACCAGCAGCTTCATCGTCTTCCTCAAG